CCAATGTCTTCTAGTGCTTTTCACACGCACGTGTCAGCTCTTTTTTCACCCATCCACTCTCCCAGTTCTGAGGTTTATTTATAGGCTTCGCATTTATTTGCTGTCGCCGAGCTTTTTTGTGCCACTTTAGGCCTCAATTATTTTGAAATTCATTAAAAGTGTCGTCTATTTTCAATATTTATGTGTACACCCCCTGACGTTTTGATTCGTTTTCTGCCTTATTTACAGTTGACAGCAGCAGAATGCAGTCCTAAGGCGGCAGATCAGATCCGACTGGAAAGAGACGGGGATACCGCTGAGGAAAGAGACGGAGGGACTAGCGAGTGACAAAGAGTACAAAAGGTAACTAAGCTGCTAATCTTAATCCTGACCGCGGCGCCCACGCAACTTGGGAGAAGAATACAAAATATGATTGCATCCCCATTTTTTTCCTCAGTTTGTGGGCGTGCGGCTTCGATTCCGCACCCATATGGCCACATAACCCCGACTCTGACTCCAGGTTCTGAACTAAAAACTGACTTTCGGCTCTGACTCCTAGCCCATACAAATCGTTTCTGGGGCCCACGCACTCTCGGAACAAATATATTGGGCCTATCGGGAGGACGGGGTCCTATCCCACCCATCCCACTTCAACTCATTCCATTCTATGTCATCCCATCCCATCCCGAACCATTTCATTTCGTTCCAAGCCGGGCTCAGAATTGCAACAGAAACAGGTGGGGCAGACCCATCCAGCTTCTTCATCATCCGGATCATTATGATCATCGCGAAGATGATCATCCTCCTTTTGGCCGCAGTAGAAAATCCTGTTGGCTGTCGGTGGAATGCAGATTTCGAACTCGTTTACATGCGAGTTTCTTCACCTTCTGCGCCACCGCCCTGGCGCTTAACCTGCCCTCTAAAAAGGCCATGCACTGAGGGAAAATGATTTTACTTTACATATTTCTGAGTGCGAGCTTCCACTCTGATGGTCTTCACTTTACTTCATCCCTTTTGGGGGCGACCCATAAGCCCCACGTTGGGCGCCACATGTTCATTTCAGAAGACGACTTAAAGGCCCCACTTAGGGCGCCACAGCGCTCCTGTTCTTTCCCTCTCTGCCTGTGCGTATGTATTGGTTGTGTGTGTATAGCTCGGCTTGGCATCTTGTTTTTGGGCTCCGGTTCCGGTCGCGCTGAAAAGAAGATTTCAGCTGCTTCTTCCACTCTCCGGCTGGCAAAACAGGTTCCATTGCTCAAGAATTTTCGCCGATATCTTCCGCCAGTGTGTGTGTGTGCGTACAGTGAAGACCCTCCACAGTGGAACCCTGTCCACCGAATGACCATGACAAGAACCGAGTAATGGGAAGGCTTAAAAGTGTATTAATGTCATGACATGTGATTTTAATAAGCCTTAATAACAATATGACCGTCTTTCTCTACGGCAAAATGTAGTTTAAAATTCACCCAAGATAATTCAACGATAATTATCTGTTGAGCTTACCTTTAAAAGTGACTCTGCAAAAAGTTAAGAGCAGTTCCCAATAAGTAGACCATCATTTTCCATCGCGGAATTTAATAACCCGCGATGGGTCTGCCTTAATCATCTGCCACTGTGATTGGAGTTTGGTGTTCGGTGTTCGGTGATTGGGGGTCTCTGGTAGTTCGTGATTTTTCTATTGCTCCTTTTCTGCCAGCAACTGTTGCTGATGATCGCAACGATGATGATGATGATGAACTGGCTCTCTCAGGTTTTATTGAACCCGGTGTAGCAGCAGCCACAGAGCTCAAAACAACGACAACTTGTAGCAGGTGTTGGTGTTTTACAAGCTGTTAACTGCCGCTGCTAATGGCCAAATGCAGTGAGGGATCGGGATTGGGATTCGTATTGGGGAAAGGGGTGTCTCTTATGACAACAGCAATTCATATGGATAAAGCTAACCACCATTGTGAATGTGGCTCCGTTACGCCTCGCACTTATTTAATGAACTTACACACGGTCTGAGGTCTGAGAGTCTATGGCCTGGGATCTCAGACCTGAGACCTGAGACCTTCTCCAGATCCGAAGACCCTCCCCTCTTCCGCTGTTTCCAATTCAATTGTCTCAAACACCGGGCGCCACGCCCAGGCCATCGCTGAATGGCTTTTCTAACAGTTTTATGCTAATTTTTGACAGGCAAACAGACAGCCACTAAGATAGTACACAACGAAAAATTCATAAGTTTCTCAGATTACAAAGCCAAACAAAGAGGCAAGAGACTTGATTAAGATTGCTGATTCTAAGTAGAACAGCTCGGGGATAAGATGACTCTATCTGGTACCTATGAACCTATAGAAAAAGGCCTGTCATTCAGTTTAAGTATAGCAAAATCAGTTTGGCTCATTAGTTGACGGGGAAAAACTTGGCCTTTCTAATAGCAGTGATGGCCATAAATCATTTTAGATACAGATACTTCCTTTTTGTTCAGTGTATCGCTTGGTGATAGCTGTTTTTTTTTTTGGTTATGACGTCGCTCAACATATTTATTTGCCATTAATTAATGCCTTTTAATTTGGCATCCCGCTTTGATTAATAACCCTTCTTAGTCGCGCCTTGTGATGTCCGTGAATAGATCGCCAAATGAGTCAACAAAAGGAGACTGTCGTTGTCCGTGGCTAATCAAATTAACTTCTGGCCCGAAAACAAACAACCAATTAATTGTGCTGCCAACAGCTGCAACAACAGCAGCAACAGCAACAGAAACAGCAGCAACATCGCCAGCTGACAGCAGCAACAGCCATAAACAGCGATCCAAGATCATTGGCCATATTTGGTCGGATGGTGAATAATGCACGGCAGCAACATCTGCTTGCAGCAACCCGCAACTAGCATCAGCTAGCAACCAGCAACATGTTGCTGCCGTTTCATAATCCCACTACTTAAGGCTGCCCCAAACACACTGTGTTCTTTGTGACCAGAAACAATCGCTTAATTGTACAAGCACATGTGTGTTTCGACTAGCAATTCCCCCTGCAGCCATGCAACATGTTGCCCATTAACAGCCAACTAATAGGTGTTTATTGCTAGTTGCAATTCTGGGGCCAACACAAATTGCATGTTGTCAATGAAAGGCAATCAATGTTTGATTATGGTGAAAAATAGTTTACACGGCAGCAACAGGCAACAATGGTTGGCTTGTTAAGGCCTAGCAATTTGAATGAAACACCCAGAGCAATTTCCACCACAATGGTTGACAGTTAATACACAGTGGCAGCTATTTTCCACAGACAAGGTGGCTAAAATTAATATCATTGGCTTACGGCATCAAAATACAATTGTATAAAAGTATGAAAATAATTGAGATTAAAGGCAAACAGGAGCAACCTCAAATACAAAGATAATAATCTCTAAATTAACAGCAATCGCAAGTGGTAATGGGTGTCTTAAGGTGGAAAAACAAGTCCATTGAAGTAGCATTCTTATTAAAATTCCTTCAGAGTCTCGAAAGTGGCATTTAATTCGACCATCCAAATGTGCAGTCGGAAAAAACAACAGCGAACTATTTTTATTTTTAAATTAATATAAAATAATATCATAAAGTTATATTTATTAACTGTTTAAGATCGAGAAATTCCTCTTTGATATTCTCGCAAATAAGTGCCCATATCATCTAATTTTTTCTCTCTGTGTGGGCTAATGCAGCACATCTGTCCCAGACTTCTTCTTCGTTCTGCTGGTTTGTTGACTCTTTTTCCACCTTTTTTTTATGGATTCTTGCAGCGCTCCCCATTCATTTCCTCTGCTTCAGTTTTCAGCTTTCAGTCGTTGTGGGGCTTTTGTTTTGTTTTTCAGTCCAGGAATGCGCATTAATTTTCAACACACGCAACCAGCAAGAGTGGATGCAACAAGTGGATGCGGATTGCTGAAGGGGCAGGCACAGAAACAGAAACCTGCGTCAATTTCGCGCTTTACTTTTGTTGTCAGATGTTTTAAATCAGCGTCGAGCTGGTTTGCGACTCCGTGTTGCTCTTGCCGTGTGTAGGCAGTCCGGTTTGCAGTCTGCAGTCTGCAGTTTGCAGCTTGCTCCTTGGGTTAACAAGTGGCCACCAGCGGCAGCAACATCTGCAACAGCAACAGCAACATCGGGAGCACAACAGCAACATCGGCAGCTGCACGCGCCTTCGGACCAATAATGACTATCAAATGGGAGCCGCTTTGCGATTTATGTGCGTCAGGAGTTTCGCTGCAGCGGCTGATGCACAGAGAGAAAATTCGGGAGAGAAAAAGGGGATTTTATGATTTAACTTTCGATCTGTGGTATTACAAAATATTGGCCCTATTCTTTAATCAGTTTTTTAGGTTACAGAAAGATGCATTTATTTTGTATACGATGTACTATATTTTTTATAAACCATAACCGCAACCAAGATATAATTTTTTTTTATCTGTGCAATATCGAGAGGAGGAGGAGGATCCGAGGTGGATCCCTAACGACTGGGCGGCCGTTTTCCTGGAATTCCGCGCGCGCTTTTGTGTTGTGGCATCGTTTAAATTTCAAATCGAGAGCCCCCGAAACTGTCGCAGGCCAGACGCTCGTCCAACCCGTTCTGGCTCCCCATCCTCTGTCTTCCGTCCTCCGCAGTCCCTTTTCTTAAAAACAGGGCAGGGCAGCTCATAATAATGACACGCCATTAACAATCTGGGCCTGGGACGACGAGTCCTTGGGTCTGAGGAGATGGAGCTCCAGTTTAAATGGCACATTGCCTGGCCCGACTGCTTCCGTTGCCACGCCCCCTTTTGTGGCAGTTGGAGCAGTAGCAGCACCGGCGAAAGGAGCAGGTTGAATGGTACAGTAGGGCCCAAGCAGCTGTCGCATTCCACGCATGTCAAATGGTCAGAGATCTCTGAAGAATTGAGATGGGGATGATGATGGTGATGGGTTAATAGAGTGATCTTACAACTAAATTAACTTAGGGATTATTATAAAATTATAAGATTACAATTCTAGCTCTTAATTAACTCTTTTTTTCCTTTTCAGACCCACATTAGAGATGGAAACTGGAATCCGGCTAGCTGTGGTCCTCCTACTGACCATCAGTATCTGGACAATCCACAGCCAAGCCAACGACAGTGGTTCCTCCGCGGGAACCACCTTGGGCGTCTTGTTCGAGCGGGCTCCCGAGTCGGCGGTGGCTCCCAAGGGCGACGAGGTGGTCTTCGAGTGCGAACTGAATCTCAAGCCGGATCGCCTGGAGTGGCGGTTCAGACGCAGTGGCTCCGAGCCCGAACCGTATAGATATTTGAGGCCCTCGGCGGGCTACAATGTGACGAGCGCCAACGAGGGTCTGGCCTGGAGACTGCGGATCTATGTGAGTGCCCAGACGGCAGGTGACTACCAGTGCGTGGCCTGGTATGGTCCCGGTGCCGTGGCCTCCACGCCCGCCCGTCTGGCCCTTGTCTCGATCGCCCTGGACGGTGGTGGCGGTCAGGTGGGATCAGGCCCTCGAGGCTCCATACGCTGGAGTGTGGCGCCCAAGAACTGCCTGCTCATCCGCTGTGGCAGCGTGGTATCCAATCCCCCGGCCATCTGGAGTTTCTACCGGAATGGCAAGAAGCTGCCGCAGTCGGAGTTGCTTCCCGGAGCGGCGGGAGCGTTGGTTCTGGACACGGTCACCGCCAAGGATGCGGGCAACTACTCGTGCGTGGCCACAAATTCTATAACAGGCGATGAGCTAAGGCTGCCGCAGACCATTGAACTGAGGGTGGACTACACGGACCGGACGCCGCCGTACTTCCTGCAACGTCCGCCCACCGAGTACTCGGCTCGTCCCGGGGAGACAGTGGTGCTCGAGTGTCCTGGCGTCGGATCTCCGCGGCCCCGAGTCATCTGGAGTAGTCCCAATGTGGTGGGGATCTACAATAACAGGAGCAAGATTCTGCCCTACGGCCTCCAGATCACCGACCTGAAGCCCGAGGATCAGGGATCCTACATCTGCATGCTGGACAATGGCATTGCGCCGCCCATAGATCACACCATCAAGCTGAGTGTCCTGCAGCGTCCCACGATTCTGAGAGGTCCTGCTGCCACGCTGATCAACGAGAGTAATCCCCTGGTGTTGGAGTGCTCCGCCTCGGGGAATCCGCAGCCGGATATCTACTGGCTCATCAACGGCGAGGAGGCCACCCAGGATCCGGAGGCCGTGGTGGATAACCGGAGTCTGCAGCTGAGGAGGGTGCAGAAGCGCCATGCCGGAGTGGTTCAGTGCTTCGCGAAGAACATTCTGGGCGAGGTAAGTTGTGGGCACTCAGGGTTGTCAACTAAGCTAACCCAATCCCTTACAGACCAGCAAGGGCAACATTCTGCGCGTGAATCCCCTGGAAATCACTGGCGAGGATGAGGAACCACTTGGCGGAGTTCCCATGTGGCCGGTTCATGAGTCTAACGGTGGAATGGGATCCTCGTCGACGCCATCTGGTGGTTCCAAAAACAAGGGAGGCCGGAGGAAGTACAAAGGTGAGTTCATAATATTTTACAATTTAAACATTTTAAACTTAAAACCTAAATTATACAATTACAATCGTGTAATCGTTTGCGAATCAGTTATACAAAATCAGTGATGTACAAAAAAAATATCATTCTGAATTTGGTAACTTTACAATCGAGCCTAACTTAAAAGTAATTTACAATTCTTCAATCTTGAAACTTAAATCTTATCATATCTTAAAAAAAAACACCACCGTTTTTAAGTTTTCATCGTGGATTAGCTGGCCACGCCCACTGTATTTTGCTGTGTGTTTTGTGTGTCTGTATAATTGATTGATTGCGATTTACAATTAGTGATGGCTTAGTCGGTAATCCTGGCCAGCGGTGGACTAAAGTCGCACCGGTGTCCCCCGCCCCGCGACAACTATAAAAAACCTAAACAAAAAAAATGTGTGTGTGTGTGGAAAGTGGGAGAGTGGGAATTGGGATGTGGAATTCGGGATTAGCGATTCGGGACTAAGGATTCGGGATAGGAGTAGATGGTAGTAGATGATAGACCTAAAACTAACGAACTAAAAGTCCCCAGGGGTGAAGCGATCCAAGTAGGCATCCGCGTCCTCCTCCTCCTCGTCGGCATCGCTGATGTCCTCCAGATCTCATGAGTTGGAGCACTTGCGCAGCTGCTCCTCCTCCTTCTGCAGTATCCGTATCTTCATCTTGAGCTCCTCGACTCGCAGTCGATGCACCTCCTTCATGTACTTGAGTTCATCCTGCGCCTTGTTGAGCTCGATGCGCTTGGCCTCGGTGGACAGCTGCTGCTCCTTGCAGCGCAGTTCGGCCTCGCGTATCTTGAAGTAGTTCATCCGCTCCTCGAAGCTGTCCGCTGCGGCGGAGGATGAACTGTTGGCTCCCCCATTGCCGCCTCCTCCGCCGCCCAAACTCGTATTGTTGAGGGTCACCGAGGAGGCTGTTGATGTGTTGACGGCCGCCGAGTTCCCCGAAGCCGACGATGCGCTGGCCACCGGCACTGGCACCGCCGTGGGCACCGTCGTCGCGGCCGTCACCGTGGGCAGGGCGCTGAAGGTGAAGGTGGGCGTGGCGGCGGCGGTAAGTTGCATCTTCACGGCAGCCGCCGCCGCCGCAGCCTGCTGTTGCTGCTGGACGGCCACGGCCGCCTGCTGTTGCTGTTGCTGCTGGTGATGCACCTGGACGGCGGCGGCCAGCTGCTGATGCTGAGCGGCCGCCAGCTGCTGCTGGGCGAGCTGTTGAGCCTGAGCCTGCGCCTGAGCTTGCGCCTGAGCTTGAGCTTGCGCTTGGGCCTGGGCCTGCGCCTGAGCCTGCTGCTGCTGCTGAGCCTGGTACTGGGCCAAGGTGATCTGCTGCGGCTTGATCTCGCTGATTATCTGCTGGTTGTAGCCGCCGGCGGTGATGGTGGCCATCGGATGCTGCTGCGCCTGGGAGGGTATGGTGTGGATCTGGGTGGCTAAGGGAGGAGATGGGGTTATAGCTTGAAGAGGGGTTCCTAAAGGGGTTTCCCACTCACCAGTAGCCTCGGCGGGATGCTTGATCTGCAGGATGATCTCCTCGCGCGGTCGCGCCGTCTTGAAGTGCAGCAGGTCGTTGAGGGTCAGCTTCTCGGCGCTGATCTGGTCCACGTTGATCTGGTGGGTGTTGATCATGGTGGCATTGGCCGCCGCCGCCGCCGCCACGGCCACCGCGTTCACCTGTTGCATCTTCTGCATTTCGGCGGCCGCCGATTGCACTTGAGCCTGCGCCTGAGCTTGGGCCGCCTCCTGCTGCTGCTGCTGCTGTTGTTGCTGCTGCTGCTGCTGCTGCTCCATGGGATCCTCGTCGATCTCGCTGACATCGTTGGCATCCATCTCGATCTCGTCGAAGGTGTCCCCCTGGGGATTGTGCTCGGAGGCATCGGGACTGATCTGGTACTCGGGCTCCACCTTGACGCCGTCGTGGTGGTGCTGCTGTTGCTGCTGCTGCTGCTGTTGCGGCACCGCCGAGGCGACGGACACGGAAACGGAGCTGATCTTGGCGCTGCCGGAGCTGAGATTGTTGGAGCTGCCGTCCCGGTAGGGATACTGTTTGCGGAGTCTGTGAATAGAGATGTGATTGGTGATCGGTTCTGGCCGGGATTAGGGAGTAGGGATTACCTCGAGTTGAGCCAGAACTTCTGGATCTGCTTGATGTTGCGCATGGCGCTCACATGCGGATGCGAGTTGAAGTCCTTGACGATCTTGTCCCACGTTTCCCGGACGGAGTACTTGTTGCGCTGCTTCTTGCGGTGCTTGATGTCGATGACCTCCTCGTGCAGGTGGAACAGGGTGTACAGCACCTCCTTCTCCTCGGTGGTGAAGCGCGGGGTGAGGGGCAGTTGGCTCTTGGCGGAGGAGCTGCCTCCGCCTCCGTTGGTCACGACCACTGTGGTCCCGCTTCCGGCGGCTCCTCCGCCTGCGTTTCCGCCTCCCTCCGAACTGGCCCCGCCCCCTCCGCTGCCGCCCCCTTCGCCCTGCGCCGACATTGAGTTTGTTTTGAGTTTTTCTTCACTTGAGTCCGCGCTTCTTCTCGCTCTTCCTCTTCTCTATACTCTTGCACACACACACACACGCGCACAGCCACTAGCACACGCACACACACCGACGCTGCAGCGCGCGCGCCCGTGTGTTCGTGTGCGTCAGTGTGAGTCGAGTCTTTTTCTATTTGTCGCCGTCTCGCTCTCCCCAGCACTCGACATACGGCCCCGAATATTGCACTCGCTATTGCACTTGATCCGCTGCGTCGACAGTGGAGAGTTGGCGATTAACAATATATCAATAAATATTAAATAAACGCGAGGCGCCGCTCAATAAATAAATCAACACGCACACATTTTCACTCGACTCGAATCGAATCCAAAAAAAAAACGCAGTCAGTGTTGCGAAAGTTGCGAGCAATTATACTGGCTGCGAGAAAAATACCAAATGTGGGTTTTTGGAAAATACCAGAAATATCTCAAATGGGCATACTGAAAACAATCGATGACGATGCTCGATGATTTCAGTGCGATTTTTGGCGGGAAATGTGTTATTTTTCAAAAGGGAATTTAGGAAATTTAGGATATGTGAGTCAAGTAGTAAATAAGGTAATAGCCATATATTTAAAGTGTAATGAAGTGTAGAATAAAACTAAAAAAAACTTTAAAATGAGTAAAAAGTGTAATTTAAGGGGTATTTTTCAATACCAATTCCAACAAATTAATTATTAATATTATTATTACAGCCAGCATGGTGCCTCCGTCAAAGCCCAATGTCACCCGCCTGTCGGACGAGTCCGTGATGCTCCGCTGGAGCGTTCCGCAGAACTCGGGACTGCAGATCACCTTCTTCAAGGTGCAGTACCGTCGTCTGGGCGACGGGAAGAATCGGCGGGAGAACTGGCAGACAACCAGTGATAATATCCCCTATGGAAATAGCTACGGATCGGGATCCGGATCGGGAAGCAATAACCACTGGCGACAGCGCAACAGGGACAGGGACTACGAGATGGGCAATCCGCCCAAGAACTTCACCTCCTCGGTCACCGGACTGACTGCCGGGAAGTACTATCGCTTCCGGATCGTGGCGGTCTATTCGAACAACGACAACAAGGAGGGCAACACCTCGGTCAAGTTCTTCCTGCAAAGCGGAGCGGCCAGGTCGAATCTGCCGGTTCCCGAGCTCCGCGAGGTGGAGCCGCTGTCCGAGGCCACCGTGGTGCTCCACTGGTCGCTGATGGCCTCTGAAAAGAGTGAGGATATCGATGGCTATTATGCCTACTACAGACCCGCCGATTCGGCGGCGGAATATCTAAAGGCCACCGTGGACGGGGGAAGAAGCAGGAGCTTCAAGATAGATCTCCTGCGACCCGGAACCGCCTACGAGTTCAAGCTGCAGTCGTTCAATTCCGACGCAGCCTCCGAGTTCAGTGCGATAAGACAGGCGAGGACCAAAAGTGAGTAGCCTAGTTTACTTGATAAATAATTATTTACCTATTATAATTATTATTTTCCTTAGAAACCACTGATCAAAGTGCTTCCTCTGCTTCATCCACCCCACTGCCTGGCCATAAATCAGCGGATCAGCAGCCGAACTCCATGTATCCAGTGATTGCAGGAGCTGCCGGCGGGGGACTGCTGCTCCTCGTCGCCTCCTTGATGGTCTGCATGTGTCTCAGGCGACGGGAGAACCAACAACCAGAGGGTAAAACCATTAAAGAGTACCTACAAGTTCCCATTATAATTATTTCAACCTCCTCAGATGAGAACAAACCGCAATTGGAGCACATCCAAGCGGACTTTGTGACCTCCGCCGTTCTGGGAGTGGGTGGCCATCACAAGAGCGGCGATGTGAGGCGTTTGAACGGAGTGATTCCCCGGATGAACATCACCCCCAATCCGCTGGCCCAGGAAACGGCCTCCGATAAGGTAAATTCGAAACTTTCCACTTGATTTCAATACGAGCCCACTTTTCACACAGCTTCATCCAAAACTTTTCGCTGGTTGGTTGGTCAAAATTCAAATTTTAAGACAAATTCAAAAATTAAAATCAAAATCACCCCTTCGAATGCGGTATCTCTGTCTCGCTTGCCCTCTCTGTCTCTCTCTGTATCTTGCTGTCTCTGTCTCTTTCGCTTGGTGTTTCTGCCAAACCTGAAATCTCCTCGAGATTCGATTCAATTCGATCCGATCCGATCCGCCGTCCAATGTTCCAGAACCGCAACGTGATGGAGCTGCGTTTCCTGCCGCCGCTGGCAAACGGAAACGGAAATGGGAATGGTAACTGCATTGCATTAAAACCGGAAACGGAAACTGAGCCACAGCCGAACGAAAGAGAGCAGGAGCAGGACGAAGAGGACGACCTGGGACTGCCGGCGGTGGCCTCCTCCTCCTGCGAGACCCTGGAGGCCTGCGACGCGGCCATCAAGCTGAATCTCCACCAGGATTCCGCCCTGGAGGCGCCCAGCAAACCACTTCCACCGCTGCCCAAGAAGCCATCGAATAGCGCTGGCCAAGTAAGCCTGCCCTTGGGAGGTCGAAGATGATGGCACAGGGTTATTAGATAAATATATCCTATATCCCTGTGCCATTATCTCTCCAGGAAAGAAAGAAGAGAAAAGAATAGCCAACCCCCAGCCGAGATTGTTTTGTCCAGCCATTGTCATCCCATTCCACCTTCCCTCCTGAATTCCCTTCCTAATGATATATGCTTTTCTTGATGATCCCCAGACGAATGGCCTGCATCATGCGCAGCCGTATCATCCGCCCGGAACGCCCACGCTGATGCACAAGCGACTGGACCACTACCACCAGCAGCAGGCGCCTCCGGTGCCTCCGCACTCCGCCTACTACCAGCAGGCGCCCACCCACAGCCACGCCCACCAGCCGTCGCCCATGATGGAGCGCAGTGCTCGGGGTCACCAGCAGCAGCATCATTTAGAGGACAACGGCACGCCCACGCCCTCGAGGATTCCCTCGCTGAGGCGCCAGCGAAGAACCTCGGGCAGCCAGCCGGTGCACAACAGCCACAGCAATCTCAACCTGAACCTGAGCCACCACAACAACAATAACCTGCCATCGCACCACCAGCATCTGCACCACCACCCAGGTCACCCTGGTCATCCGAATGGCCTGGTCGGGATACCCATTGTGCCGGGCAGTCCGCGGGTCCAGAGATCTCCGATGCCCAGCAGGGCGATGATCAAGAGGACGCGACTGGGCAGCCACACGGACAACATCTCCTCGGGCAGCCTGAACAGTATTGAGGTGTGATTGAGGATGATTGGAGTATCAAGAGCATCGGAAGCGAAAACAGTTCCCCTACAGACAAACAGACAGCTTCAACTAGGCTTAATCAACCGAAAATCGACGTGTATTATTATGCTTATCCATAGAAACGGGCCGGCAGAGCAGTCGAATGCACTCGAATACTAGTTTTTAAGCAGTCGATAAAAATTTGGATAGATGAAGTCTTGAGCTAGAACCAAAAATTGTACTAAATTTGAAGATTTCATTTCATTTGCTAAGAAAAATAATGGAAGCTTAGACGTTGAACGCTAAAGCTGCTTGATTTTGATTTGTTTAAAAATTTCCTATTCAATTTGATTGGAATGAGAAGAAGAAGAATTATTAATAATATACTTTTTTTCCTGTTTCTGCCGGCCAGATAGTCAGTAGAATTATTAATTTGTATTTTTTTTTTACCGATTGATTAGTGCATCCCCCAGGGGTCCCAAATTGCAACTCGACTAAGCCCTGTAGCATAGTGTTATTTATTTATTACAGTGTAAGCGTCACCGACTCGAATTGATTAGTTCAATCAGGATAAGCACTCTAACTAGCAGCCTAATTAGCTCGTAAGGCAAACCAACTATCTAGCATTAAAGTAAGACACTTTAAAATGTGACTAATATCCCGACATTGTAGCGTAAAGGAAAAGCATCCTAAACTATTTTTAAGTTCATAGACAGCTGAGTTCTAAACGTATTTTTGCCAATTTTGAAATTAAAAAGAGTACATTTTGAAACCGTTCAAGTTGTTGTGTTTTTCTAAAGGCCACTTAAAGTAAAGCCATTTTTGATTTTGAATTAAGAATTTAATTGTGAAATAAATGCCCTGATCTGGCAGCTCTTAGAGTGTTAATCTGGCAACTCTGTTACTAAGCGAGTACACACACCACACTTGAGTGATTAATCGAGTGAAAAATCGATAGAAAACCCAAGTTCAGAACCCGTGGTATATTTAGGCAAAAGTGGTATTTTTGTGTAAGCTGGTATTTTTAGCCCTCACGGTCACACTGTAAGTGCGAATTGGAATGGAATTGGATTATTATTATTTTTAACCAATTAATGACTAAAACTGCCTAAAGTAACCAACTAAACAGCTGCTAGACAAGCTCCACGGCGTCGGGGGAAAGGCTTCCAGCACCTACAACCTGAACCAAACAGCACAAACATGAATTTCCTGCGGCAAACGTTGGGCATTACGAAACAGTTGACTTCGCAGGGTAAGTTTAGACTAAAACAAATTAAAAGCTCAACTTTTGCGTTGTTTTAGCGGTTTTAGTGAGGATCGGTGTGCCTGTGACCATGACTTTGCGGAATTTGCAACCCTTTTGCCCTTTTGGATAAATGTGGAAAATCAAACAAACCGGGGTGCCCAAAAGTGTTTGTTTTCCCCTCGCTTTTCACACAGTTTTCCACACATTTTCCAACTCTTTTTGCAGAGCGCGTGGCCGTCGCACTTTTCGCCTGCGAATGTTTTCCTTGCCCGTTTCACAGGCACACTGCATTTTGCATTTCCCATTTTCATTTCCATTTTCCCCGCTTTTGATTGCAATTGCAAAAATAATTGAAAACCTGTCACTCCGCAAAAAAGCAAAAAAAGGAGAACAATGGACAAAAAAGGTCACAGGTCGCAGGACAAAAGGTCGCCGCATTTGTTTGTCCGGCAATCCTGCATATGGAAATTATTACCTGCCGCTTGTGTGTGGCATTTAGCATTTGGCATTTAACATTTGGCATATTTATAATTGAAAACGTTGGATCTTGCCCCTTTGTCTCTCACCAAAAAGGATCCAAAAGGATTCGCCTCGGAATCGCCCGTTTGCGCGTCATTTGGCTGCAATTATGGTCGCCGGTCGCCAGTCGCAGACTCTCGATTTTCACAGGGATTAGCCGGGTGACAAAGGGCACCATAACCATGCCGAAATATCAAACCAGAAATAAACCAGCGGGCATTGTCAATCACCGAGTATCTGAATCTCTGAATATCTGACCAACTGTCCGTGGAAATGACCCTTTTGTCTGAATTCTGCCGTTGTTTCGGGTACAGTCGTGCTTTAAATCGACTCGTGATCCTAACTGATCACTTTCTATCATATCGAGGACATTGTGGCCTTTACTATGCCCCAATAATTCCTATTTATATAGGTGGGAAATTTGAATATTTTGTATTTTTAATTCTATACCAAGAGTTTCATCTTATTAAGATATTTTTAGATAATTTTTTAGTTCCTTTGATCACTTTTTCGGTTATAAGATGTTATCTTATCCAGACCATTGTGGGCTTTACCATGCCCTAATGCTTCCTTAAGTACATTTTTTGGGGTCATATTGCTTGTTCTATTTTATATAGCTAAGAATTATGTATACCCAAAAAAAGAATCATATTTAAACTTTTAATACTTGTTGTATTACAATTATACTACATATAGTTTAAAAGTGTGATGTTGAATTACTACTAAATAGTAAAAAGTCTGTACTCTAGTATTCATTCTATCATTCAATCTATTTTTATATTTTTTTGTGGTTAAAAACTCATCTAATTAAGATATTTTTTAAACTCAATAGTTTAGAATTAATATACGAATAGTTTAGTTTCTAGTATCACTATTTTCATGCCATTATTCACCAAGGCTTAATGCCAGAAATTCAGTTCTATGCATGAATTAGAGTGAAATGGATTGTGCTTTTGCAGGGTTATAAGTTATAAGCACAGATCCTTAAGAAATACGGTTTGTAAGGGATTCTAGAGCACCAACACTTCACTCCAAAAAGCTTATAGTTATATAGTTATTCAAGATACCTAATCCAACTCCCTCCTCTATTTTTACAGCCATCCAGAGCAGTTTGGAGACCGCCATGCGTGGGATGGCCTCGCTGCAGCAGATGCACCGCAGCGGGCCGCACGTGAAGACGCGACCCCCGCGCCAGCCCCTCGACGGGAAGCCCTTCGCCAAGGGCGTCGTGCTCAAGACGCTGATCAAGAAGCCCAAGAAGCCGAACTCGGCCAACCGCAAGTGCGTGCTGGTGCGGCTCTCCACCGGCAAGGAGATGGTGGCCTACATCCCCGGCATCGGGCACAACCTGCAGGAGCACAACATCGTCCTGTGCCGCGTCGGCCGTCTGCAGGATGTGCCCGGCGTGAAGCTGAAGGCTGTGCGCGGAGTCTACGACCTGGCGCACGTCGTCAAGAAGAGCCAATAGTTATAGATGTAGATATATCCCCCTTATCATCCAAACACACACTGTTCAAATGCAAGACTCTACAATCAAGAAACCGCATAGTCGTTATTGTTTGCTTTTTACGGAAAATTACGCAGCTCAGCCGGATTAAAAAGTAAGTAAGTAGTGAGCGACAAGTGAACGGGGACAAAAACGAGGACAGGATCTCCTCGCAATCCTCCGCTTGGCTGCATCCTCGTAATCTTAAGTCAACAGGGCGTCGCGTCATCTTTACCTATGAAGACCTAAGGTCCTCGGGGGAAAAAGGTTTTAAACGGCATTTTGCGCTTTAGCCGGCAAATCCTTTTGCCCGAATCCTGTTTGCTTTTTAACGGAATTGCCAAATTTTCTGCCAAATAATCGTTAGCTGAAATGGGCGTCTTCCCAGTCGCCCACTCTTCACAGTTGAGCATTTCAATAGAAAATCCAAGTAGTAGTTGGTTCCCTTTGGGCATCCTGCTGGGTGACTGCCGAAAATTAGCAGCGAAAATTGATTCTTTCTTTTGGCAGGGCAAGATGTTCTTCAAATGTTTTAAAACATGATTAGAAACTACTGTTTTAGAATTTGAATTTATTATGCAAATCACTTTGAATTGTTTGTTAGATTCTTTGTTGCTATTTGTCACCGATAAATAATAATCTCAGTACAATTATTAATAATGTTTTTTACAAATGCAGGTTAGTGTATACAGATAACTTGGAATAATCTTTAGGAATTTGTAGAAGGGAGTTTAGCTATTTTAAAAAACTAAACACTGAAAATTATTGAGTAGAAAGTGCGCTTTATTCTACAATATGGTAAATCTAAAGATTCAAGAAATATATTTAAACGCTACAGAACTTCTGAGTACTATATTGTATGGTGTCATATTTTGTATCATTAGTATAATATTTCTTGTAAAGTTTATAATTATGCGTTTCTAAGTGAATAACAATTTTTCGCAATAATTTAAAAGAATATGTATATTGTACTATTTCATTTTCCCTGTTTGCTGGAACCTTTGTGACATTGACTGGCCCACAATGTCGGTCCGAATCAAAGTCAATTCGAGAGTGTCCTGCGCAGGATTCACCGTTAACCCATCCGCACACAAACGTAGTCGCAGAATCAGTTAGGCAAATACACCGAAAGGTCCTTTTTATGTCAGCCGACATCGAGGATGTCCTATGTCGCCAAGTAGATGTCCTTTTTTCCCTGGATCCCTGGATGGATGACATTCGGGTGACCACAGCAGTCCCGTTTCCTCTGTCCGGCAGACTTTGTGTCAACAGAATGGCAGAAAACCAGGACCGTTAGTCCTGCTGCCTGATTGAGCCATTATGACAGCAGGTCCTTTGTCCTGCCGGTTCGGTTCGGTTGGTTCGTCTTCGCTTTTTCTGCTGAGTCAAGTTGTCCAACATTTTCGGGACTCGCCTTTGTTTGCCAGCGTGCATAATTTTTATCAATAAAAACCCCATTGTCCGGTGTCCAGAAAAAAACACATACGAGTCCCGCTTCCGTTGAATCGCCAAAGGATATTGGCCGCTGCCCATTGTCCTGCGTGTTAACTGTAAAATTTGCCAAATGAAAAATGACTCCTGGCCTCACGGATTACTTAGTGGCCAATCATCGAGGCGTTCACACGTCTGTAACTGTGGCTGTATCTTGGCCAAAATGAATTGGCAAAACATCTGGGAAGAAGACGGCATTCAAAAGTTTTCATCTCAAACGAATTGACCGACTCGAATTGGAAACATGCCTAGGAATGACGATTGAGTTGTATGGAAAATGTATTCTTATACTGGGACTATTATAATCTAATGATATCTTATAGCTTGGTGCTTTGCTGTGGAGCAATGATATATGATATCTATGGGTGTATTTTCCTCCTTATCCGATCCCCTATTTCTTCATTACTTTTCCCCATTTTATATAATATAATATAACACAATATAATATTATAATACTGGCACTATTATTATCTAATGATATTTCATAGTTTAGTGCTTTGCCATGGATCAATGATATATGATATCTATAGGTGTATTTTTCTTCTTTCCTAAACCCCCTAGTTCTTCATTACTTTTCCCCATATTAAACCAAACTGTGGTCAGCAATTTAATATACACAATTTATGAGTTTCCCTCGTGAAATGTTGGATGATTACTCCTTTTCTAGCCAGCTTCCTGGCCAGAGGCTTTAATTGCCGCCGCACCCCTTCTTTATCGCTATCATCGAGATGGTTGTGGAACTTGCAGACCCACATCCAATCGATGCTGTCACTTGCCCCGCTTACTTTCGCTCTTTGCTGCAGGAACTGACTAGAAAACGACTCTAAATGGGGTGGCAGAGTCACTAGAGTTTGACTAGACGAATTGCCAAACATTTTATTTAATCATGGACACGTGTTCCTCGACTTCTCGGGGGTTGGGAGGCGAAGGGGTGGATGGGTAGATGGGTCGATGGTGACCACCCCTTTGACGTTCAACCCTTGTGCAACCCTTGCGTGATGTGAATCTCGTAACCCAGACCAAAATGGCGCTGCCAAATGGCTGAATCCCAGTGAAAGACCAAGTTCAGTGAGAAATTCGCCCTAAAAATGGTTTCAGCTGAGCTCCATTCCCCCGGGAATGATCCCTGAGTGATCTATAAGTGATCTTCTTCAGATCACCTAAAAAAGAACACAAAAAGAAGGGCCTAATTGGCATCTTGTTGTCTTGGCCTTTATCCCCTTTCTTCGCCAACAATCGAGATGTCAAGTGCGAGTCAAATAATGATGCATAACCCTCGGCCAGACAAATCCTAGATGTTGCAACCGAGATTATCCCAAGGAAACATCATCATTTTCCTGTAATCGATTGCAGAAAAAGATCAGAGTGGCAAAAAACGGGCAAAAAAGGCAGGAGAAGTGGCAACAAACGACGGGCGGGCCCAACCGCACAAAGGACGATCGTCCTTCTCGCTCTCCGACGATCAGCCAGGATCAGCCAGGAATATTCCCCTCCTCTCCTGGCCACGTGCAGAGCACACTCCAATCGCAGGAAGGCGAGGAAGGGACACACTTTCGCCGCCAGGTGAGCGGGCCCAAGTGTCAATCAGGATTCGCGATATCCCTCGGATATTTCAACCCCAAGGCGATCGCAAATCGCATCTGATTCGCCATCGCCGTCGCCTTTTGATCTGTGTTGACATTTCGCCAGAGATCGTGGCGATCGGAATGTGTTTACTCATGGCCCTAATCCCTTCCCTTTTGGGGCGTCACGATCGATTGGCAATCCTTTCTTCGGATCCAGCGCATGATCAGCACGTGGCGGCTGGGATAGCGAGTTTTTGTGTTTGATATTCGGGAAACTCTAGTCGCAGATTTTCTGCCGGCCAGAAATGAAACGATATTTAAATTCTAATTTCGTTTCCTGATTTTAGTAATTGTATATTGTTTAAAAGTAGTAACATTAGTGGGGTTATCTTTGAAATATGCATTTTTTTATGGATCCATTGAAATATATGAGTTACATATTGTCCAAAGTATAAGAATTTTCATTGCAATTCATTTAGTAAATTAAAGTTGAATAAAATTAGGTAAATAAATAAAGATTAAATAATTCTGCATGCTAAATTTGAAATAGGGATAAACCCTTGAAAAAGTAAATTATTTTAACTTTAACATGCAGCCAAGAATAAGGCCTTTAATCCTTACGAGTAAATTGAGTTTTGTTTATTAAAAATGTATTTTTTTATGTATCGCAGTACCAACTATTTGAAAATGTGTTCTTGGATATAATTGTATCTCCATTTTAACTAGCAGTCCTAACCAGAAGTTTTGAATACGGTTTTTGGCTAATAATTTTTTGTATAAATTAAGTAATGGCTTCTATCAACCTTTTGGATGTTATGTAAGTAAAATGATTTCTCCTACATTTTTAGGATATAGAATTCGGAAATGGTAACCCCTAATCGTAGCTGCTTTACTTAGTCTTCCCATGGGTTCGAAAGTCAAAGCGGCTAGTCCCGCAGACTACTCTGGACTTCTGTGGGGATCAGGGGAGTGAGCTCAGCGGAGGCACGGCTAGCTTTAGTGGGCATGACCAGTGGCTTTCCAGGATCTACCTAGGACTACGCCCAGCCTGCCTCGCGATGGCCCAGTTTTGCGATCCCATTCGCCGCTCAAGTGATCTGGCAATTGACCTAACAATTGGGCTAATCGCGGGAGGGAATGTGGAAATCTGGGGATCTAGCCATCTAATCTTACGGATTTACGTGAAACTTTTGCAATCGAACTAGTGAGCCCCTGCGAGCGCTGGCATTATTTGGCAATATACGAGCAGAGCGGCCGAAGGCAGGGGCGGAGTGGCCTAATCTGGTGGACTGTGGACTGATCCCGATCCGCGATCCGCAATCCGCGATCTTCTCCTTCGCTCGTAATCTCAGATTAAATTAAAATGTCGCAGGAAGGCAGAAGGAGAGACAGAGAAGCAGACAGAGAAACCGACACAGACTCACCTCTGTTTGCGCTAAATCCCCGAGATCCCGGGATCCAGAGGCCTAATCCTTTCGCTCGACCAGCCGAGCGGCTACCTGACCACTGATCCCGTGGCCCGCAACCATGCAACAGTCGCGCTACACACGAATTAACCTGATTAAAATTGTATTTTTCCCAAATTTATGGGATTAAGTTCCGTTCAAGTTCCTTTAACTCGTTTAAGCTACCGGATTTAGTTCAAGTGCTCGCCTGGATCTCCCCGGGATATCTGAGGCTCCGAGGACCTCAGGCCTCTCCAGCCTCCGTGAGCCGATTTTTATTGGGCTGGCTTAATTAGCACAATTGTTTACAAATTTACCTTTCGTCATGCTGCAAAGGGATCGTCCTCGGATCCTCCCGAGATCGGTGTGTGAAATCCATGGCCCGCACACGCCCACAGCTCAGAGTTCAGAGCTCAGAACTTAGAACTCTCTCTCTGCAATTCAGGGCAGATCAGCTATGTGTGAACCGAGCGGATTGCAATTCCATTTAAAAATTAGCATAATCCAGAGCAAAGACGAAGCGAAGGTGCCTGTGCCACCGATTCCACCTCGTCGGCTC